GCGGGGGCTTCTTGCAGATAGCTTGGCTTCACATAGGCGTCTGCTAATTGTAACAGTACTCACAACTTTACACCTTCTTTGATCTTCCTGGAGCTGATTGTTGGCTGAGTCCTTGCCATTTTGGCTATTCTTCTATCCATTCGAATGGTAGTTTTTTGCTTTCTTCTACGTCTTTCAGGTTTTGGTTGCCATTTTAATGCATTTGCGATAATTTTTAGCTGAGCAGCCTATCATTTTCTGCACTTCTTTATATGTTTTCCCCTCTCCAATCAACTTTTTAATCAAAGTACGCAGTTCTTCTGAACAATGTCTGGAACGACCCATTTTCTTCAGAATTTCAGAGAGAAATGCACTGTAACCAGCATGTACAACATTTGCTGCCTTCCTTCCTTAAATAAGGGCAATCATTGCCACCTGTTTTTCAAAGAATGAATGACCTCACTAATAGAACTCCACACTGCTATTATTTTGAACATGCCCCTTTCAATTAGTGATTCAATTACACAGAATCAGCAGCATGCATGTCATAACTGTTGGGTCTGTTGGATTTTAATTACTCTACTACACCTGCTAGTAAATTATTTGCCGTGTAGAAATAGCATTTCTACCAAAAACAGTGATTGATCAGGTTAGTGATGTCTGACTGCTATTATTTTGAACACAACTGTATGTGAGCATATACATGTATTCTACAAAAAGAGGGTTCACATGTTTCATATATAAAGTTGTTATCGTTACATGATACAGTCCACATAAAGGCTTAACGCATTTTGAATATCCATTATTTTCTTCTGGAGCACATATGAACAAAATTTACGACATGGATCAACCATTAAAGTGAATACAGGCCATCATCTCCACAATACCGCCCAAATGTGTTATGTATCACCAAGATTTCAATTCCCAGCCAGGGCCAAACAGTAAAAAGAGGACCGTTCGTTGTACTCAGATGGTGTAACTTGAATATCAAAGTACGCAGTCTAAGTGGCACAATATATCAAAGAGATTATATCAATCCATTACCCATCGGAGATACTTTTTTCTTCAAAATACTTTATTCAATCTAGGAAATATAGGATGTGTGTTTTAATGGTATAAAGCTTCATTTTATTACTAAACTCCAAAATATCTCTTTGACCCATTGTATTCCTCAACCTTTGTTAATCTACAAAAGGGACACTTTTTCTTTTTTAATTTCTTTTGAACCATTTAACAACCATGTGACACATATGTGCAGTGGTAGGGAGAGGGGGCTTTAGTGCCCACATGACACATATACAGTATATGCCCATGTCAGTTGGGGTTTCTCCCAGCACAATGACTGAGCTGTCATTAACACATTCTGGTCTCTGGTTTGAATGGGAGCTGGTGGGTCAGTTTCCCAATCATGTGACCACTGTGACATCCAATCACATTAATTTTGTGATTGGGTAGTCCATCCCCATTGTAAGGACCCAGTTATAAGGCTTCTGGGAGGGGTCACTCTGCAGCCTCCTGGGATACCTCACATGGGGCATTGACTGAGGCATCGCATTGCTGGAAGAGTAAAGAGCCCATAATCGGAGCAATAATCTGGAACAAACAATCTGGATCCTTTGACCTCTGATGTGTTTGGTAATTTCTATTCTTACTGAGCCATCTGGGAGGCTAGACAGTTCTCTATCTGATCTTTTAAGACAAATGTGCATTGTTTCTTGTTGGTCTTAAACCTTAAACCCGTTGCTCCTTGAATGAACTTCCTATTAAGGCCATGCCTTTGCACTTTCTGTTTGCCAGATTTGTGTGCTCTCTCTAGCTAATGTCTTACTATTGTCTCTCCTACTGCTGTCCATATCATTTGTTACCAACTGACCGAACTTTGGCTTGTTCCTCAACTACACTTCTGTTTGATCCCAAACTGCTACCACTCGTTACTGACTTCTGGCATGTTTACTGATTATGCTTCTGTGTGATCCCTACCTGCTATATCTGCTACTGGACCCCAGCTTACTCACCTCCTGGTGGGGCAATACTGAGGGCCATGACCTGGTACTATCGCAAAGCAAAACCCATTTCCAGGAGCTTTGGTGAATACCGGTTAGTGCTTAGGCCCTGACCCCGTGCCTCAGGTAGGCCCGTGTCTTTCCACAAGGGAGACCTGCCTGTGTACTATTCCTGTTGGCCTCTCTAATGCTATAGTTAGTTATAGGTCTCCAAGCCTGACCCCTGACCATGACATGATATAAAAAACAATGAAGAGGGCAGGACTTGGCGTGCAGGAGCATAGAGTGGGGTGGGATCACAATAGATCGACACTGGATTTGCTGGGCATGTAGGTAGGTTTATTACATACAACCCATCAAAGGTAAGAGGGAAATGAGAAAAAATAATAAATGTGAGGGAACTTCCTCTAATGAAATGATGGAATAACTGGGTTTGGTTTGGACAAAGGAAACTTATATAGTCACACTGGTCCAGCTTTGACCAATGCAAGTATGTATATATCATACCCATGAGATTCACTGTAGTAGGCAATGCTAGCTTCCAGGTCCTGTCCCAAGCAGCTGCCTTGCTGCTAACTGAACACAGGTGGTCCCTAGCTTGGCATGGATGCCATTCAGAGAACGCCTTTTCTCAATAAATGCAAAGTGTTCTTTGATTGGACAAGGTGGAAATTGTGATGCCACCACCTCATTTCTCTGCCTCATCCATTTAGAGAATAATTTGTATGGTAGTGAAAAAATTCAGTGTTCCCTGAATGGCACCCTTGTTTAACCTCTTCACGCCGAGCGCATGCAAATGTGCGGCCTCTTGGCGTCTGGGCCTTGATGCCGAGTGGCCGCATATTCACTTGCAATTTAAAAAAACGTATGTGCTGAGCACACATGTCCGGTACTCACGAAAAGGTCCCAATCACCTCTTTTGATCGGGACCTTTCCCGATCATGTGACCGCCGTGACAAGGAATCACAGCGGTCACATGACCCTAAAACCTGGCCCGCCTCCTGGCTTCTGAAACCCTTAAAAGGGCTGGGAGGCGCCGGCGCCAAGGGGTTAAAATGCAGCAGTACAGCCGCTAGCATGGGACCTGGAAGCTGGTGGAAATCATTGGTGGAGATCAAGGTGCCTACTACAGTAATTTCCAGCTTCCACAGGGATCCTGGTTGTCTGTCGCCCTAGGCAAGACTAAAATCGTGCCCCCTGTGGGGGAAGGGGGGTGGGGAGAAAGAGAGATTCCAGCACTCACCCGCCGGCCACCCCTGGAGCCATGATCAGGAAAGCTCAACGTCTTCCTTCTGCACTGATCTCTGATAATGATCCGGGAACGAGAGTCGGACACCCTTCAGCAGCTCGCAGCCCGTACTGCTGTACCTGTGCCTCACCTGCTCCTCATCCTCAGTCACTGGCTACCACGTCTGTCACTTCTGCAGGGGGGCGGCGCTGCTCCCCTAAAAAAATGCTGCCCTAGGCAAACGCCTTGTTTGCCTCACTGTAAATACACCCCTGTCTACAAGTACGGTATATGTATAGTTAAATTGGTCCAAGTTGGACCAGCATAAATATGTAAAAATTACTATAACTTCATAAGTTTTTCAACAGTTATTAAATGATATGTAAACCAAAAAATACATTTTTCACTCCTTTTTTAACTGCATGAGCAGTGGTATAGTGGGAGCTTTGGTTCTGTGCTCATAATAAATCTGGACTAATTGCCTCAGTTGATCCTGCCAGTTTGTGCTCTATGGGCATCCAGTTATAGGATTTCACTACTAACTACCAACTCCAATCATAGTAATAGTGCTGGTCATTTGTTGTTATAAGCAACAGCTCCTCTTTTCTTTTCTGTCCTGTACACCTAGGAAGGAGTCTTGGTGATAAATATGCTTTTCTTCACATATTCCTGCACTGAGAAACCTCAATGGCGTATGGGGAGCAAAACTAATTACTAATGTTTTTGAATGTTAATCAGTACAAGTACCTGATTTCATAATTATATTTTGATAAGAACAATGATATTTTTCATTTGTACATGTCGCTGAAGTAATTAGAAAGGAAGCAGATTATTCAGCGAAGGCGGAATATGGCTCATACTGCTGACCTACTGATTTACTCTAGCTAGATAGGCATTTATCAACTTAGATAATATGACTGAACGCAGATCCTGAAACAACTGCATATCTACGGTAAGAACATGCATAATTGCATCAGCCAAGTGTACGTGTTTATGACCTCTACAGAAACCTCTGTGCCAATCAATCTTGGGGAAAGCATTGATTGCCGGAAAGGGATCACCGTTGTTCCCTAGGGTAGGGATGAATGAAGTGATTTCAGAGAAATTGATTTAGCTGTGAAATTACAAATTTTTTCGAAGTGGAAACTTTCAGTTTAGCTCATTGAGTTGCTTAGGTGAAATTTCCATGGAAAAAAAAGTCTACTTTTCAGTTTATTTGAAGGGTGTGCTTTTTGGGGAAAGTATATTTAGGGTAGTGAGATTAATTTCATTTAGTTTTATCTGTATTTGTGCTTTTTTTACCTATTGTGTTCTTTTTTCCCCAGATCTGAATTTAACCAGTTCCTGACCACGCTATAGCCAAAAGACGGCTACAGAGTTGTTGGCTTGTTCTGGGAGGAAGTCCATGGATGTCCTGCCAGAGCCACATCCCCTGCGCGCCCCCTGGGGCACACGCAGTGTTTGAGCTGTGATCGCTGTGTCCTTTGGACATGGCTGATCACGTGTCCAGGTAAAAGACCAATCAAAGCCACCAAAGTCCTCTCCTCACCCTTCTCATCCTGACAGTGCGGGAGAAGAGCCAGTAAACGGCATTTCTCAGAGGGGACATCTACACTGATCATCAGGGTATTGATCACCAGTGCCCTGATGATCAGTGTAGCCCCATCAGTGCAGCTAATAGTGCCCATCAGTGCTGGCTATCAGTGCCTATAAGTGCTGGCTATCAGTGTCCATCAGTTCTGGCTATCAGTGCCTATAAGTGCTGGCTATCAGGGGCAGACTGACAACTCATGGGGCCCCTGGCAATAGGGGATCATGGGGCCCCTGTGTCCTTGCCCAAACCCCAAAAAGCCTATGAAAAAGGTACCAGGGGCATCTCATGGGGCCCCCTACTGACCCCGGGCCCTCAGGCAGTGCCCGAGTTTCCAAATGGTCAGTCCGCCGCTGATCAGTGCCCATCAGTGCTGCCTATCAGTATCCATCAGCACTGCCTATCAGTGCCCATCAGTGCAGCCTATCAATGCCCATCAGTGCCGCCTATCAGTGCCCATCAGAGACACATATCAGTGCAGCCTAATCAGTGCCTCTTTATCAGTGCCCATCAGTGCAGGCTCATCAGCGCACATCAGTGAAGGAGAAAAATCACTTATTTACAAAACTTTATAACAGAAACTAAGAAAAAAAACAATTTTCCCCAAAGTTTTTGGACTTTTTTAATTTGTTTAGAAGATACCCAGTAGTGAACAAATACCACCCAAAGAAAGCTCTATTTGTCTAAAAAAAATAATAAAAATTTAGTTTGGATATAGTGTTGCATGACCACACAGTTGTCGTTCATAGAGCTGAAAGCTGAAAATAGGCCTGGGCAGGAAGGGGGTAAATGCACCCAGTAGGCAAGTGGTTAACGGGCTTTTTAAATACTCTCGCTTTATAATTTTTATTTTACTTTTTTATAGTTTTTTTTTTTTTCTGTTAAAAAATAAATACATAAAAATAACAAGGCAAATAAGGTTTTTATTTTGCAGAAGAAAAAATCCATGGCAGGTGAAAAGAACTTTTGTATGGAGCCATTTAAAGCCATTACACCCTTAAAGCCATATTAAACCCAAAACAAACATTTTTTACAGTATATTGCAGCTTACTATTTCTTAGATGTGATGGCTGCACTTTCTGTTTCAAGCTTTTCACCTTGTGATCCAGCCTGTAAGTCTGTTGTGTTTTCAAAAGAACAAGCTATCTAGCAGAATAAATGTATCAATTACAGAGATGAGACAAGCCATTTAACACTAGGAGGGGTGCTTACAATGATCATCTTTTATTTATTTATGTAAAACCTTTATTCCAAAAGGAATGCAACTGCCTATAAAGTAGTAGCTGGACCAGGGGCGGACTGACCATTTGAGCACTCGGGCACCGCCCGAGGATCCGGGGTCAGTAGGGGGCCCCATGAGATGCCCCTGGTACCTTTCATAGGCTTTTTTGGGTGTGGTTTGAGTGTGGGTGAGGACACAGGGGCCCCATGATCCCTTATTGCCCGGGGGCCCCATGAGTTGTCAGTCCACCCCTGAGCTGGGCTTTATTTGTTAGTTCACTTACATCTAACACTCCCTGCCCCCCCCCCAGACTGATAATGCTGCTGTCCAAAGATGCCCCCTGTGCTCCTTCATCCAGAGTGGGGCATTCTAATACAGGAGGTGTGTTACTGGCAAGATCACCAGGTGAAAACAGAAAGAAGAAAAGAAACTAATGCAGCCACCACACACATGGATTGATAAGCAGCAATATACAGTAATACATTTTTGGTTTTCGGTTGAATGCTGCTTTAAAACCACCAAAAAACACTTTAATTTTACCTTTCCCAATGAACCCAATGCATTTTTTTTATAATGGCAACATTTTGCAAAATTTCCTGATTTTTGCTGAAATTTCAGGCTAAAAAAACTCAGTTTTGCTTATCTACTCAAAATAATATGGTTTGGTAAAGCCAACATTGATAATGATAAGTCATCTGTGTAATTAAAGCATTTATGATGCTGGATGAAAGGGGGTTACCAGGGTAAAAAGAGCTGAAATGTATCCAAACCAGAGATGAGTGGCCAACACCATTCTGTATAGCACAGCCATGCGTAGGTTAATCTTTGCTCTAAGCCTATGTATGCAAGTTCTTTCCCTAGGGCATGTTCTAATTGCCCTCAATAGCCCAAATGGAGAGGAGATGGACTCTTATTGAACTGACTGGGGACAGTCACTGCTCTCAGCTGTGTTACTAGGTTAATAATTGCTCACAGCTACCAGTGAAATACTCACGGTTAACAGAGAACAACCTCTGAACACAGAGAGGGAATAGATAGAGGTGCTTAGGAATTAGCACTTGTATAGGCAGTCTTCAGGGCAGAAAAGGAAAAGGCTTTTAGTTTGATCTGACTGGGCAAAAAAGCAATTTGCAACACACTGTAATCCATACCAGCCAATCAGAATTAATTTTTCACTTCAAACTATAGTAAACTGCATTCTGTCACTATGAGGATTGTAGACTACATTGTAATTGCTGTTTCCATTAACTATAAAGTCACACTTGGCTAGGAGTTTGGGAACACCTGAATATCAGACCTTTATGTGGAGGGTTGCCACCTCATCCCTTTAAAATGGAACACATTAATTACACAGGTTTTGAAGCTAATTTAATGCAGCTAAGGCACTAATGCAGGCCATAGACAGTTCGTTTATTGGCCAATTTTCGTCCGAAAGAATAATTGGCCGATTTTCGCACTGCTAGTGGGGCAATGGCATCGGCCGATTTGCGTGGTTCCTCCTCATTTTGTTTATCTGTTATGCTGGAAACTTCATGAAAAATGACCGATTTTTGAAATCATTGGTGGCAACATCGGTTTACAGAACGAACGTTGTTTCGTTTTTCAGACGAAAAATCAGCCGATAAACGTACCGTCTATGGCCTGCATAAGTACATGTAATGTCCACCTTAATCAGCCACAGAACCTGTGTAATTAACCAATTCATGTCCAGACACTTTCACCCCCTTCCAGTCCAGGCCAATTTTCAGCTTTCAGCGCTAACACACTTTGAATGGCAATTGTGCTGTCATGCAACATTGTACCTATATGAATTTTTTAGCATTTTTTTAAGACAGATAAAACTTTATTTTGGTGGTATTTATTCACCACTGGGATTTTTATTTTTTTGCTATATAAATGAAAAAGTCCAAAAATTTTGAAAAATAAGTGTTTTTCTTATAACATTTTGCAAATAAATCATCTTTCTTCATAAACCTTGGCCAAAATGTATTCATCTATCTTTTTAGTAAATTAGTTTATAACCAAAAATTTAAATTTTTCAAAATGTATTTTTTTGCATTTTTCATTTTTTTTTTATATTATTATTTATGTTTTTTTTAACATCCTGTCATCCTGTCAGTACAGTGTTACCATAGTGATACTGTACTACTTGTGGGAGGTGATGAAGATGTTTTATTCTTTTTTTTACACTGATTGCTATTACACCCATAAAGGATGTAAAAGTAATCATTTCTCCATCTCTCTGGCTGCACTCCTGCAGCCATTGAAAAATACTGTGGAAGCTGTGATTGGTCACAGCTTGGCACATGGTACAAGGCTGTTGTGAATAAGCTTGTACCATGTGACCTCTGTGATCATTCACAGATTTCATTAGTAGTAAGCAATGCTGTCAGGAAGTGATCACTAATTGACCAATCAGGGATGACATGAATCAGGGTCTCGCACAGAGGTCCTGTACAGCGATCTGTGTTCTGCTGTGTCCGGAGGACACAGAGTGCACCGATCGCGGTGCCTCATGCTCCCAGGGAGTGCGCACAGGCAATGAATGCGGGGGAACATTTAGAAATGTCCACCCACATCGGCATTGCTCCCATCTGGTCGTTTATCTGCATGGGCCAGATGGGCAGTGGTTAATATGTGTTCGGTTTTAAAGCGATGAGGTGGCAACCAGGGGCGGACTGACAACTCATGGGGCCCCCAGGCAATAGGGGATCATGGGGCCCCTGTGTCCTTGCCCAAACTAAAAAAAGCCTATGAAAAAGGTACCAGGGGCATCTCATGGGGCCCCCTACTGACCCCGGGCCCTTGGGCAGTGCCCGAGTTTCCAAATGGTCAGTCCGCCCCTGATGGCAACCGTACCTATATGAGCCAGTATGGACATCCCATTCCAAACCCATGGACATTAATATGGAGTTGGCCCCACTTGTGCCTCCAACCTCTGTTCTTCTGATTAGGCTTTCTACAAAAAATTGGAGCGTGTCTGTGCTCAGTCAACAAATAGAGCATTTGTGGGATTAAGCACAAATGTTGGCTGAAAAGACCTGGTTCTTAGCTGGCATTCCAATTCATCCCAAAGATGTTATGGTCAGGGGTACATGTGGGTCACTTGAGTTCCTTTATGCCAAACTCATTGAATTATGTCTTTATGGAACTGACTTTGCACATAGTCCGCCACAAGGTTGGAATCGCAGTTTTCTAAAGTGTAGCATTAACAGTACCCTTTACTTGAAACACCTGAGCTCAGTAATTTGAAGTTGGGTCCACGCACCTTTGACCATATACTGGGTGTGACGGTCGGTGTCTACAAAACCTTTGACCATATAGTGTGTTTAAACAAATGGAATAATAACCCTACATACATGAACTCATGGCTGCCACACTGGACACTGCTTGAAACCAGACATACAGAGATTTCTATACAACACAAATTTTGTAGGCTGCAATATCTGATTGTAATATATTTGAGCAGTTCTCAGCTTATAGAGAAGCCGGTCACCAGCATACAAAGGGTTCTTCTCTGCTAGGGCGGTCAGAAGTGGGAATTCTCTTTCTGTAGTCAGCAGTATAAGTGAATTTAAATGTTAATTGGATGCCTTTCCTACTAATAACAGCATCTTCTGCTCATGAGAGGAATGATTGATCTAGGGATTAAAAAGAGCAATTCCAGGCATTAACTGAAACCAATCAGTGAGCCACTAATGCCGTCCAGCACACACTGCAACACTGCTAAAGTCAGGAAGTTCACTCAATATGGCTTAATTTGAATTTGTGTAAGACTTTGCACCCTGAATCACAAGCACTCCCTGGAGGTATACTTCCTGGAGATGTGGTAACTACCTTTCACTGTATTGCTATGCTTCCTGTAAAGCAAGCTTTGAATGTGAGTGGGAGCACTGAGAAACGTCTGAGTAATGATAAGCTCATATTTTCTTTATACTATATGTCAAAAAGTTTGTGGACACCCCTTCAAGCTATTGAGTTTAGGTATTTCCATTGAAGGGAACTATTAATGCTACAGCATGCAGACATTTTAGACATATGTTGCACTCCCAACCTTGCAGCACCAGTTTGGGAAAATCCCTATCTTTTCCTGGGTTACTGTATACAAAACCAAATTCATAAAGATATGAAGGGCAATTCAATTTATCTGGAGCAATGACAGTATTAGAAAATTAAAATTCATGAAAGTTGTGCAACAGTTTCCTTGTTATCGTGTGCAACAAATTCAGGTAGTTCCCATGCGGGACACTTTTACATTCTGGCACCATGGCTGTGACGCATTGATTGAGAAATCCTGAAATATTGGTCATAAGAAAAATTAAGGTAAATAAGATATCTTCCATGTTGAAATAAATTGTGTTACATGTGTAAGTATTGTGCCGTAAGTAAAATTCAGTCTGAGGCAATTCTACAACAGATTCACATACACCTTACAGAGAGTTACCTGAATCTGTTGCACCATTTGTTGTGGACCATCAAGTTGCACCATTTGTTGTGGACAGACTTCTAATTAGCGTCTTTAACACTCGATGAATTCCAGGGATGGTTTGATGGGTTTGGTGTAGAAAAATGTAATGGACCTGCCTCAACCCTACTGAATATTTTAGGGATGAATTGGAAACTGGTCATAAGCCACATCTTCTCATCCAGTATCAGCACCTTGACATATTATGGGGCTCCATAGCAACATTTTGATGGCACACCCCTATCACCACCCTACTGTCATTATTTTGTAGCATAAAGTATGTCTGACTCAAGGTAACAGGAAGCAGGAGAGCAGACACTTTATTCAGTTCCTTACTAGGAGCTAGGGCTGTGGACAGAGGTTTTCCAGGAAGTGGAGGGCACCAGCTCATGGAATTAATGTTTAAAATTGATTTTCCAGTCAACCACTTTGTCCTCAGTAGACCATCAGTTTATTTCAGAATTATAGATCTCAAGGCCTGAGTGTATATTTCAAGTCCTCCCACACCTTCCTCTATCACAGCAAGCAAGTGCTGAAAGTTTAGTAGTAAGTAAAAAAGAAAATTTGTGTAGCACCCTTCTAGTTAGCTAGGGGGAACTAGACTGCAATTGTTAGTCAGGGCCAAGTAGCAGCCTGGGTGTGATAGCTAGCAGGGGTAAAATTCTGCTCAGAGCTGACAGGCTCGGCAGACCAGCCCTCTGGAATTTCCCCCTGCTCTAAAGTTTTGGAGAAAGGTCTAGAAGCAGTGGGTGGATCGGAGCAGTGGTTTGTCTGTACTCTTTACGAATCCAGGCCAATCCCCAACAGGAGGCTTGGCAAGGGGCCAGGACAACCTTTAACAGTAACTGAGCCTGCTCAGCAGAGAGGAGAGAGTCGGGTGGAAGATGTGGGAGAGGAAGAGATGCAGGAGCCTGTGAAGGGGGCCCAGATGGGAAAGGGGCTCACCTCCCAGCAGAGGGACATTGGAAGGCAGAAAGCTTGGCATTTTACCGGCCCCCTGAGAGAGGACCACCTGTGTGGTATGGAAGGAGCAGCCCATCTAGAAGGCCTGGTAGCAGCCACCGACTCACTGGCAGCACAGGAGCAGGGCCAAGTGAGTAGACCTGCACCACCTGGGCCGGCAAGGGGAAAGAGGCACTCTGGTGGGAAACTGGATTAGCTTTTTACCCTGGACTGTTAACACTGCAGTGGCAGGCACAGGTTCCCCTGCTCAGGGATTCACCCAGTACATCTGGATGAGGAGAGGATTCATCTGGGGGTCTGGGGAGCTACTGTGGGAGATGCTGGCTAGCTCTCCAGATGAATTTTTGCTGTAAAGGCTTGTACATAGTTGCTAAGGAGATTGTCCTCTGCTAATATTGTCCTTGGGCATCCCCAAGCTTTTCTTCCACTGGAACTTGGTGGAATTCAGTTCCACCACCTCTTGCTCAGGCCCTCTGCTCACTGCTCACCAATATCACTTGTAAACACAGAAGTCTGGCTTCTGTGTTTACAAGTGACAGCTTGTTTCCCTCTGGCTCCCACATCTGATATCTGATCTCCTGAGCGGCTCCCACTGAGTGTGCAAGATGGCGACAAGAGAGAGATGCAGGTGCCTGGGGGTGCAGTGCAGTTGCCTACACCCCCACTGGATGATCTCCCTGCAAGTGAGAGATTTGGAGCTACCTACAGTGTATGAGGAGATACTAGAGCCAGCTGGGTGCTTCAGCTAAATGCAGCAACAAAAGTAATACATCTGGAAGATGCATTCTGTATGCAGCACACCCCTGAAGTCTGCACTATGTATGTAATACCCCTTTAAGACCCTCCCTCTGTTAGGGAAATTTGACCAAACCCACTGTTTTATGCAGTTTGGAAGGTATGTATGCAGGGAGGGGGGCTTTGGGGGTTTGTGGTTGAGTTGCTGCATCTATTGCAGAAAAAAGCCCAGGGCATCCCATACACCCTCTCACCCCATCCAAGTTCTAATTTGCCTAATAAAACTTCAAAACAAGCCTAAGGACTGGTTACTGTCTCAGTGTGCAAGTGTGGAATAAGAAATGGCATTTTGCCTGGCTGTACAGGACTTAAGGGGGACCGAAACTTCTGCGACTCCTAAGGAGGTAGTGCTACATTTGTAGTATCAATATTAATGCCCATCACATATTTGTTATTGTATGTACTGTTGTATAGTATTCATATTCCTGTATACAGATGTAATACTTAACATTAATACAAACGTCTTTAAATTGTGGGATTGTATGTGCAGAACTACAAACAGCTGTCAATTTTAGATGAGGTGATACCCTGGGATTTTTTACAACCTTAGAAAGATTTCATCAGGCATACCAGGCTAATTTAATTGCTGGCCTGGGTGACCAGAAGCTATGAGGGCAATACATCTACACTACTAAAGCTGGCTAAAAGCTTAGTGGTGGCCCTGCTGGTCCCCACACCCAACAAGCTTTGATTGAAAAATCAAGTTTAGATGTAGCTGCTGTTCAGGTATTTTGATTGCTGCCTGTGGCAGATGTTACAATAAAATAGGCACATAGGCACAGTGGGAGATTCGTCCATCTGTTCAGTATAACAGGCTAAATGCTAAATGCAAAAAAAAAATCTAACAGTGTATTGCCATACACAGATGGCCATTGCTGAAGAACCAGCTGAAATACGCCCAGTGAGTGGTCCTGTTGGCCGTCTCTCATCCAATTTTCCTTGCCAGCTTTTAGAATACACTACCTGCAGCAAAAAACGCAACCATCCATGCTGTGTAGCGTGGATGGAGGAATCTGTTAGATTTATTTTCCATTCAGTCACCTGTACATCTGACAATAGCTATTTTTGATTGGAAATGTCACAGGGAGTGCAGGGTCAGCGTCAAACAGCAATCTCTGCAATCCTTAACAATAAAATGATGGCTTTGTGTTATCTTCACATGTTATGGCTATTGTTATGTCAATGCCTAAACTCACTAATGCTCTTTTGGCTGAATGGGCATATATTCCCACTGAGATACTCCAAAACATTGTGAAAAGCCTTTCCAGAAGAGTGAAGGTGTTACAGCCACAAAGGGGGGGACTAACTCTAAATGAATGCCCATGGTTTTGGATTGGATGTCCAACAAGCTCACATATGTGTGAGGGACAGCTGTTCACAAACTTATGGCCATATAATGTATTTCAGACTTTCTGTTGCCTTTGATTTTTGCAAGTCCAGTATCACTAGTACATAACACGCTTGCTGTCCAAGATTGGTCTAAGTGACTTGATGACGTGTCTTACTTTTCTTTTGCCCTTTATTTTAGAACCCACTTCTCCTGAAGAAGCATTTAAGTGAAACATGTTGAGACTAAGAATCCATCCACAGCACACCACTGTGATCATTATAGTTCTGTTACGGGAGACATTTGAATTATTGTTGGTCCCCAGGGTGGTGTTTTTGACATAACTTGACAGAGTATGATGCTGTGGAGGGAATATTGAATGGGTGTGTTCAGTGGAATTTAATGTCATGCATGACGTGCATTGGCTTTGATTTTAATGATGAAGAAATGAATCCCCCCCTCTTTTAATAATAGCCATTGTTTGGTTGAGGGTTAACTGCAAATAAATAGTACTTGTTTGTGTTGTGACATTTCTGTAAGAGATCTTCCACCTAAAAAGTTTAACATTATTTGTCTTTTTCCTGAAAATGGGGAGCATTGGTATTGTGCAAATATTAGATTCAGTAGGTGTATTTGGGTATATACACATTAACACATAATAAAAGATTTAGTATAAGTGAATACACATGCAATGGAAATAGGTTCAACTTAGTGGACTGGTTCAACTTGGTAGACTAATCTTTTTCAGCCCTATAAGGATAAGTTCACCTTTACACAAAGAATAAAAAAATGCATATTTTTTTGCAGGTAATAAAATGTTCATTCATTATTTTTGGTGTTAGGAGGCTATAAAGCATTGCACCAGCGATCAGCAGATCGTAGGTTTCCTGCAAACTGTCAACGTATCTATGTACTCGAACAACCCACCCGCACGAGTAAGCTGATACTTCTGACATGAAGAATCAATTAACTAATACAGCTTTCCACAGCGCCGTGGTAGTTCATTGAGGACCAGGGGCGGACTGACCATTTGGAAACTCGGGCACTGCCCGAGAGGCCCGGGGTCAGTAGGGGGTCCCATGAGATGCCCCTGGTACCTTTTTCATAGGCTTTTTTGAGTTTGGGCAAGGACACAGGGGGCCCCATGATCCCCTATTGCCCGGGGGCCCCATGAGTTGTTAGTCCACCCCTGTTGAGGACTACAAACCAACAGCCACTAAGGCTGTCGGGACCTGCAGTCCATTCATTCACAGAGGACTGTGAATGAATGACGTGGCCATGTGCCCCAGGAGCCCCGCACGGGCATGCTGTTTTTGAAAAGTGACAGCTACAGTAAGTATGGAGAACTTCTCCTACTTCTGTATAGGGAGAGGGGCACAGCAGGCGGCAGCTTCAGGATCAGGAACATGTTACATGTTCCACCCTAAAAATTTGTACAAACATTCATGTGAAAATTCTCTTTACATTCAATGAATGTCATTTGAAAGTATTTAAAAATTTTATTTGTTTTAAGTATTTGGACTGATTGGACTTTCCTGAGCGAAAACCACATACACTGTTAGAAATTCATTTGTTTGAGAAAAACAATTCCATTCTGTGTCTTCGAATTTTCCTATCGCTGTAGTTGAAAGCGAATGTTGATTTGACCTCACCAATGCTTAGAAACTCAAACAAACCTTCTTAAAGTAAAACATTTTTAACAAAATTCTACTAGTATAAGGCCAGCTTTAGCATTTTCTGTATTAAGTATGAGCTTTTATAAGCTATAAAAGGTGGACACAGTTTTTTTGAGTTGTTAAAAATGAACTATAGGTAGGTAATGGAAGTGGAAAAATAATTTTGATTTGTCTCCTATAAAGCAGCCGAAGGAGTTAAAGAGTTATTGTTTTAGGTTTATTATTGTGGAACAAAGCAAACCAATTATATGAAGTAGGTGCTTAGAATTGTGTGTTATATTGTATTATTAAAGACAGAGTACAAGTACAGAGTTGGTGAATGAAGTATGTGTAGCGGGTTGAATACAGAAATCATGGAAATAGGAAAATGTGTGAAGTAAGATAATGGAACTCGTTATTGTAGAGGTTCCTGTAGTGCAATGCAGGTAGAAGACATGTATATAGTGCAGATGGGTGGAGCCTGAAGGTATCAGTAAAAGAACTGTCTAAGCTTCTGATAGCTACCAATTAGCCTTTCTTGTTTTGATGAAGAAGCTGACTGGCTGAAGTAGTCAAAACCAGGGGCGGACTGACCATTTGAGAACTCGGGCACTGCCCGAGGGCCCGGGGTCAGTAGGGGGCCCCATGAGATGCCCCTGGTACCTTTCATAGGTTTTTTTTTGGGTGTGGTTTGAGTGTATGTGAGGACACAGGGGCTCCATGATCCCCTAATGCCCGGGGGCCCCATGAGTTGTCAGTCCCCCCCCTGCTCAAAACAGTTTAACTTTAAAGCAAACCATTATCATATTTAAAGAACACTTTAACACTTAGTAGAGAATCCACCTGTAGGTTAATGGACTGCCTACTCATTACTACAGAGCATTTAAGGTCCCCTAAATTCTGGGGGGAACTGATATGCAAATACCCATCTGCTTCCCTGCTCAAGAGTTTAGTCCCACCATCACTACTGACCTATTGCTATACCAGACAATCTTCTGAACCAGGAGTCAGGTGCTGAAGGCAGGAGGGGTCAGAGGCAGGCTCTCGATAATTGTTTAGTGGAGCACCCCAGGATTCAGGGTACCAGGGCTGCTTTATCGCAAATTAATATACAGAATTTTATAATCATACAAATTCTACCAAATTGGTTTTCACCCTTTTTCCCACCCACTCAGTGTCCTGCTACTCTATCCCCCAAATCCCTTCAGCCCCAATGCTGTCTCCATAGTAATCTGTAATAGGGATCAGATAGAAATCCAACGCACATGCCATCCCCCAATCCTCATTAAGAGTGAAAGAGAAGATGCAGTATAAAAGCCAACTGGAACAAAGAAAGGAAGATCATTTAAATAGTTGAGAGTGAAAGTAAAAACAGACCCATTTATATTGTTTTTTTAATTCCCGCATTATAGAGCATTGATATATTACATACACAACAGTTTACCTATTATAAAGAACATACATATCATTCATGTGGAACTAAAATGACTGGTAAAAAGAGCAGCAGCTGGAGCAGCTTGTATGATTCCTTGACCCTGTGGGAAGTACATCAGTTAGTATAGATGGCCATTCTGTATCAGTTCAAATCAGATTGCAACACGGCATGTTATAATGTATTTTTTTCAGTGCTGAGTCTATAAGCCCGTACATTAAGACTGGAATATTCCCTACAGGGTTCAATAAACCATACACAGTGCACCACTTCAGGTCTATTCATCCTTTGGTAAATGCCTTGTCAATATTCTATTTTTGAACATTGTTATCTGTCTGCACAAAGGTGCTCATATCTTAGGCATCCTGTTGTTGAATGAACCAACAAATAAAAAAAAATTACCAAAGTGCATCTCACCTCTACTCCTCCTTAAATCCATATCCTTGTCCCCTCTTCATCTGAGTTATGTGTTGTAGAAGGTCTGCTACACGGATGGCTGGCTGGAGCTGCCCACGAGGATACGCCATCTCCAGTGGCTCACATGTCCGATAGGGGTGAGTCTGTATCGTCAGCGTGGGCTGATTCAGCTCTACATGACTGTTGTCTGTGAAAGAAACAAAGTTTAGGGATGTGCAAAATATCCAATATTTGCAATATTGCAAGATTTCATAGCAACCTAAAACATTTTTAAGACTGGATACACGCTTGTGTGTACTGTTTCTTCAAAATTTTTGAAGCCGCATTTTGTGTAAATTTTTTTCCCTATTGTCTAAAAATCTCAAATAAATCTCAAAATATAGCAAAAACAAATACACAAAAATACATTTTTTTATTATCACATCTATGTAATCATGCTCAGTGTTTATGCACGATGTGATTTTTTTAAAAAAGTACAAAAATTATAAATTAATTTAAATAGGAAATAGTTTTTGGTGGCTCAGCTATTTGTTAGATTCTGGGTCAAAGTATGGGGTTGGTTTACTAAAACTGGAGAGTGCAAAATCTGGTGGAGCTGTGCATGGTAGCCAATCAGCTTCTACATTCAGCTTGTTCAATTAAGCTTTGGCTAAAAAAAAAAAATGGAAGCTGATTGGTTTCTATGCAGAGCTGCAACAGATTTTGCACTCTCCTGTTTAACCCCCCCCGATCACATCAAGCCCGACTTTGAAATTGTGCGACGTACAGTGAAGTTGGGTGAGATGCTGATTTCAGGTGCAATTTCCAAGACACCTGACACATGTACTACTTTAGAAATTGGTGCGGCTCCAACCAAGTCTGAACCGCACCAATTTGACCGCTCTAATAGGGTGCTACTTGGCATATGATTTGAAAGTCGCATGACATGCAAATTGCATGCCAAGTCACACCCGATGATGTGGACGGGGGTGTTAGTAAAATCAACCCGTATACAATGATTTTGAGTAAGAGAGTTGAGATGAGATGTAAAGTAGGCTATTCACAACATAACATCTAAATGACTCAGCCTTAAACCTCACGTATACCACCAGCTGACTTGGTAAAAATGAAATTATTTATATGCAATATTTTATATGTATTCATCCTGAACATGCTGAAAAAAATAAAAAATATGCACAATCGCTATAACTCACTTTAAAAAAAAAAATCTCAAGATCACTCCAATCTTCATAGCCACTGTCTAGGATGTAAAGCTGACTGAGATTCTCTCTAATCTGGTTCCTACTCTCAACACCCCTCAGATACAACCTAAACTAAGATGTCTATTAAAACTAAGGCCTTGTGCACAATGGACATTTTTCCAGCTGCTGTTTTTGGCATCAGGCATTTTTATTCTGCAGCCAGTAAACTCCCCAACATATTATCCTACGTTTTTTGGCAGAGGCATGTTCAGGCTGAAAAAAAAAAACAGAACTACTGCGTTTGAAGAGGAGTTTTTCAGCTGTAAAAACACTCCAATACTGAAAAACGCAGCAAAACGCTCTAATCCAGCATTTATGAGCATTTTTGAAAACTGTTCCTTCAATATCCTTTGCATCCCAGTGTGTTTTGCTGCTCTTGATTTCTTGCTTTGTCTGACCTGTGCTGTGTGCAAACAGAATCAGTTCCCAATGTCCTTTGCTGCCTCATTGTCTCAGATGACTGAACTGTGTGCAAAGAGGAAATTCCTTTTATGGACATATGGAGGATACACAGCAGGTTATTAAAAGGATGGGGCCAGAATTGGCGTCAATGTCTGATTCTCTCCTCTAGCGGTCTCTGTCTCATCACCATCCCAAACAGAATCAGTAGCATAGCCTCATCAATTTCTGCATTACAGGATTCATAATAGACACAGCAAGATAAAGAAAGATAGCTCCTGAACAACACAGTACTCTCTTTGCTCTAGTAATCTCTCTGCTCTGAAAATGGTGACTAAACAACTACTCAATGACTATTCAGAGATTCTTTGTGGAAAGTGGAAGTTACAAAATAGCAGAGACCTCTCACAATGAATATCTGAATAGCCAATGTGTAGTTGTTTAGTCACCATTTTCAGAGCAGAGAGATTACTAGAGCAAAGAGAGTGCTAAAAAAAAACACTTGCGCAGCAAAATACTAATAAAAAAAATCGTCAAAACACTTCAAAACTTGTGTTTTTAACATGGCAATGCTACTGGCGTTTTTGTAACGTCCAGTGTCCAGTGCGCTCTCAAAATGCCAGCAGTGATGGCTTGACCACTATCTCCTGGGGTCCAGTAGAGATACTAGACATGAGCTACTTGATTCCCCTAAGAAGATACTTAACCACTTGCCCTCCAGAAGATTTACCCCCCTTCCTGATGAGGCCATTTTTTGCGATACAGCGCTGCATTACTTTAACTGACAATTGCGCGGTCATGCAATGCTGTACCTAAAAAAAATGTATGCAATTTTTCCAACAAACTGAGCTTTCTTTTGATGGTATTTGATTACCACTGCAGTTTTTTTTTTCGCTGTAAACAAAAAAAATATAGACAATTAAAAGAAACAATTTTTTTTATTTCTGCTGTGAAACATATCCAATAAAAAAATTTTTCTTCATAAATTTAGGCCAATATGTATTCTACTACAAATTTTTGGTAAAAAAAAAAACCCCTAATCAGCGTGTATTTACTGGTTTGTGTAAAAGTTATATGACTACAAATGGCGGCATATATACTAGGATTTTTATTTATTTATTTATTTTTTATACTACTAATGGCAGTGATCAGCGGCTTATAGCAGGACTGCGGGACTGTGGCAGACAATCAGACACTAATTGACACTAACACTTTATGGGAACTAGTAACACTAATACAGTGATCAGTGCTAAAAAAAAAATGCACTGACATTGTACTAATGATACTCGTTAGGAAGGGTTTAAACATCTAGGGCGATCAAAGAATTAACTGTGTGCCTAGCTAGTGATTTTGTGTAAACTGTGTGCTGCTTGTACTAAGGAAAGTGATGGATTGTATTCCCTGCTTTGCAGGGACACAAGATCCATCACTTCTCCCCTGTCAGAACAGAGCTCCACCTTGTTTTTATAGGCAGAGCTCAGTTCAGTGTCTCTCCCTGATGATCAGCAGGTGCCAGCGGACACTGCCTGGCACTGCCAAAGTGGCCCACCAGCGGTGTACATGTGCGTCCCCTAGGTGGAAGTGCAGAATTACATTTATATATGTGATATTGCGCAGGAGGGACACCCTCCTGCTCAATATCTGCTATGGGGCAGTCCTAAAGTGCTAAAGAGGCACTGGGAACCTTTAGACTTGCATGTGCAGTGAGATGAAGGAAAACTTCAAACAAGCTCAATAGTTCTGGCAAGGCAGGTCCCACACAGCAAGGCTTCCCTCGATGGACACCCAACAGGAACTCAAGCCACAAAAATACAGTAAGGAGCACTAGGCCAAAATTGGATAAAATAGTTCACGATAATTTTAATTGTTGATAAAAAAAAGGTGGCTTCTGCAAACATTAAGGTTCAGTTTTCTAAAATGTATTTGCAGACTGTAGCATTAACACTACCCTTTAATAATTTGAAGTGCTGTCCATAAAACGTTATTGGTTATAGTAGGTATGATAGACAGGTTCCCACAAACTTTTAGCCATATAGTGCATTTCCATTATTCATCAGCCACTGTACTGAGGGTATCCAAAAAAGCAGTTTGATACTCAATACACAGTACTCAATACAATGACTTGCTATTTAAGCATTTGTTTTTCTTTAATTTACCTAGAAGGGTTGAAGAAGGGACGGTGTCAGATGAAACTGAGGAGCAGATGAATCCCAAGGAACACAGATGGATGTAGAAGTAGAAGAAGGAATAAAAAAGAAAACAAAATTAGGCCCTGGTTGTCTAGACACATTCTACTCAAGAAGGATGCTCTCATCTCACAGTTCACTGACAGATACAGCGAATTATTGCTAGAATCTAAAACTACTCATTGTAAATTCCATTCTCTCATTAATATACAGCATACAATTTCACCAATTGAGAGACAAATTCCTGATGACAACCTTGCTGACTTGCAATGACATCTAGGTTTTGTTTGAGCAGAAGCCCTACCTGAGTAGCAGGAATTGAGCAAGGATTTGCCCTGCAGGTTTTTGCTTTGTACAGAGAAGGAGCAGGGTGAGGAAGTGCCTGCAGGAAAACAGGTTAGAGGTCAGCCTACATAAGGAAAGACCCAGACATGCCTACAAATAATGTCACCTTATCTAAAACCTATAGATGATTGGACCAAAGTAAATATTTTTGATATATTATACTGCAAGAGCTTACATTTCAGGAGGCTACCTATCAAAATTTTGGCCTGGTGGAAAGTAACACAATTGTAAGCCATTGCAATATTGATTATATCATCATGCTACTCTCTGCTACTCTATCTACTCTCTGGAATCTGAAACTTTGTCACATGACCATGTTTGTTAGTAGACATCCTTGAATTGCATTTTTAAAACTTTTTTTTGTACAAAGTAGAATATGAATAAAATACTGGCAAACTGTTTTGCCATCCCATTGAGGAGATTTCCCTTAACTTCAAATGCTGTAGACACAACAAAAAGTGAGAAGATATCTCTCCAAAGTGAGGGGAATCGTTTAGTTGTTGCTGGATGAAGAGCTGCTATTGGGAAATTTCCCCTAATGACTGTAAAATGTTGGATGTTTCCTCTCTTACAGTCCCAGAGACAATGGTTACCAGAACAAATAGAAAGAATGGATCTCCTAAGGTGGGACACAGACAGTTGTAAAAATGGCAAGGGTTCTAACTATATGCAAGAAAGAAACAGTTTTCACTTTAGATAAAACGTAAACAGTGGAGGTCACTGGAAGGCACCGTAACAGTAATGCGTAGTTACCAAAGGGTTCAACATGCTATGGCTACTACAAATATCGAGGGGGGTTGGGTGTTGGATGATGTCTTCACACACTATGGCCCGACGTGGCCAATCCAGGAGATGTCTTTGCCAGTATTGCTCTAATACAAAGTGCTGTTTTATAGTTCACATGTGAGTGATTTTCATCTTTTTTATTCAATAAATATTCATTGTGGTATTACACTATAGCCAATTTCTTTGTGTGTGTGGGCACTACCGTGAGTGTAGCAATACAACTTGAAGATATTGGTGGAGATCTGATTCCAGATGGGCTTCATAATAATGCTTACCATGACCACTCTGTAATAGGGGGATATGGATATCTGGTAAGTGCTCTATCTTATGGTCAAAGTGGTTCACAATTGAGGAAGTGGTGGCACTTATCACATTTTTGAGTTCTTCAAAGATCTTCTTTACACGTGGCACTGTATTTTCAGGTTTTATGGACTTTTCTTTGGACTGTTTTTGGGATTGTGCACATATAAATGAAGCAATATATTGCTTTATATCACAATATTTGTATTATCTATTATTTTACATTTGGGGATTCACCTTTTATTTTATAGAGTATATATCAGGAAAAGAATCACTGCTTTAGGACTTTTTGAACGTATACCTCCATCCAATTTTTCTGAGCTTTTGAATAGATTGGGGAAGAGTTAGAGAGTCTGTCAGCTGTTTATTGCTGTCTTTGCCCCTACCATGCGAGATTCCCCTTCTATCCCTGTTCTAGTGACCACTGCCATAGGGACAAGAAGTGATGAGAAATATAAAATGTTACTGTTGACATCAGACCAGGCACTGGGGAGAAATCTTCCCATGTGGACAACTTTTCTTGTGACAACTGTCTAAAAGATGATTTCTTCTTACTTTACAAAGTGTCTAGTAGAAAGTAAGATAAGCAAAATCTCCCTATAAGTCCACAAATATAAAACAAAATTCACTGAACTCCATACAGCAATAGGCAATATCGTCAGTGTGTACTAAGGTGAACTCATGGATGGTGCAACAACAAAAATCCAAGTATTTCCTACTTCACCCAAAAATCTAAAGTTTTGGCTTTAAATATTAAACTAACATATTACATAAGAGATATGAAATAAGATATGAAATTATGTTAACAGCATGGTTTTTGTTTCTTACATTGTGTCCTAATCTTTGTTTATGTCAGAAATAGAAAATGATATCTTGCTTACCGTTTGCTAATGAACAGACAACATTTCCCGGCATGTCCAGCTTTAATTTTACTTAACAAAACTTCAACTTTATTTTAAGAAGGAACTACAGATTGGCTCTTTTGCTAGAACAGCATTAGTAGGATATTTTGGCTGATATTTACTAATTAACAGCCAGTATTTCCAAGCATGACCAGATTTAGTGTGACTCACAAAACTTTCATCTATTTTTTTGTTTCAGAAGATGTTGCCAAAGTGTTTTCTTTAACCAAAATAACTGAAATGAGTAAATCATACATACACACACACATAGGGAATCTGTTTTTGTGATTCAAGTCTTGAGTTTGGGTTCTAATGTAGCCTCTTTGTTTTTTTTGCCTCTGTGAGCACTTGTGCTAGTCCTGCCTATGGAAAAAAGCCCAACCCTCTTTATCATCAAGATTTGCCCATGTAGTCCCTGGGAAAAGAGTACGCTGATGCAAACCCCTCATTATCCCATCAATGCCCAGACAAGCCACTATGTATCAGGATTAGGAGAGCAAGTTCCTGCCTTGCCAAATAACAGAGATTAATCCAAATCAATGGCAACATGGGCAAGCTAGAAGTTGTGGCCCCACAAAAAACTACATGCATCCATGATTATAAAAACTCAGCAGTTTCAATATTTCCTTACTATTCTAAAATTAGTTATTTCCTGTGTCTACTTTGGTGATGAATCCACTATTACCTTCTATACTAACATGTAGTAAGTGGAAATATCCACATTAGGGACACCAATGGCTAAAAAAACAGATGCTCTAAGCCTTAACTCCTATTTACAAAATAAAAAGGCTTGGCTTGAATTGACCTTTAAACATAGTACCCAATCCAATTGCCTGTTTGATTTTCCTACATGTAACCTGGTTGTTTGCTATGGGCAATACGTTTTCTTCCAGTTATTCCATCCAGTGAGTTGCAACATGCAAAGGTCAGTATCTGGTCTAGTTTACGAGGAATTCACTCACCAATTAGGCAATCAGAGTATAAAAATAATTAGAACTAGATCCTTTTCTATTGTGCTAATAAAGGCCAACGTGACAGGCTTGGGAAATTATTCTCATCATTCCAACTGTACTATAGCTTTATACTGTAGAACTGCTCTTATAATTCATTCACAATAATTGTACCAATGATATCTCCATCCCCAACCACTGTGATGTTCTTACTGAATCCATTGACGTCCTGGCAGCTGGAAAACGTATCTTCATTTCGGGTGGAACTGAGTTTGCCGGAACTTTTATCTGAAGCCACCAGACCCATTTCCCTCTGGGAGCCACTTTGGGTCTCTTTCTGTTTCTTGGCCAATTTCCTAGAGGCAGAGAGAACAGCGTCTGACAAACTCAAGACTGGAAATGTCAGTGACACAGAAGAGAAAGATTTGCAGCACACTGTGTTTCCCGTTAGCACAGACAGACACAGAGGGAGCCATTTATTGTGACTATTGTTCATCAACTGACTGAATGTCAAATGTAGGGCTATGCAGCATTGCTTCTCTTGTTTAAACTAAGGAGATCATAATTGGCAAATCATTGGATAATCAGATATTGGATAATCAGATATAAATGTGATTCAACTGGCGAGCACAAAGACAGGCTTTGCACATGGCTGTATATGGAGTAAGCCAAGGAATATTACTGCTTTTCATGTTGTAATTGGGAGCTCAGGGATGCTTGGCAGACATTAGGTTACCCGCGTTCGTAATGTTGTGACACTTGGGCATCGCTCCCTTGTAGGCTTTAGTAATTAACACCTTACACATCTTCCACAAGGAAAGATTAATCCACAGATCACTAATGAGTTTGAGCCAACCATTAATAATGGGCAGTGGATTGCTGTGATGATATTTTTATGCAGAAGGGGATGGGTAGAGAGAGAGAGACTGCTAAATATTCAGGCTGGTTACAGAATAAACATACTCAAAGGAAAAAGCAGCGGGTATAACCTAAGAGTAGCTAGGATTCTAATATATACATATGTTTTATGATTCTCATACAAGGCAGATGGCTAGTTCAGAGCCAGCGATGGGCCACTGCCATTCTTGCTACCACTAAAAGCATCAAATCCTGCCCATCTATTCTCCCCAGAAAACCGTTCTACTTAAAGTGGAATTTCACTCTCTCAATCAGCATGGACTATTTGTTATCCTTATACTGCTAGCATTAGTAAATGTATAGGAAAGTATATCATATTTACATGTTTTTTTTACATTTCTTCAGTTATTTTCTGGTTTCCATACCTAGCCAAATGATGTCACACATCCCAGGAGTCTTCAGGAGGGGAGGGAGGATTCTTAGCTCAGCAAATGCCTAAGCTAAAGGCAGATGGATTCCTGGAAGTAAATGCTATTTGAACCATCTGCCCTACTCAAGATGGTCACTGCCAGAAATGCCAGGGGGTGTTTTTTTTATGATTTCTCAGCAAAATAAAGCATGGAGACGTAAATGGATTGGGGAGTTTGCTTTGAATTATTGGTTTATGGTGCTCAGATGCAGTGCAGTTCCACTCTAAAGACAAGATTTTAGCTGATTCTTAATGAAAATCAGAGATCTTTGTGACAACAGCTAAGCATATGCCTGTGTCCCATTAGTGTTGGTTGATATTTATCCCACCCTAGGTGGAATGGGACAATGCTGCAGTGTGGTAGTTTTCTTTCATTCCCCTGCTGTGTAGAGCTGATCTTTACAACCATATGCAATGTAAGTCAACATGACTATAATCCCCCCTTTAAGCAGTAATAAATGCTACTTGAAGCTGTAGCAGCATAAACTACCCCCAGACCCCCAATGGAACCAGACAGAGTGGCGCTGTCACGAACATGAACTTTTGTGTTCATACAAATTAAGAGGGAATAGGAGTAGGAAACAGATACTGACAGATGCTGTAAGAGGGGATAGTCAGTGTCCGGACAATGTCATTTACGCCCCTCCCCAAAAAGTATGTGCATTATGTGTCAGCAAAAATCCTATCCCTCTGCTCCCCAAAATATTCAGCACTAATCTGCACACTGAGTCCTAAGCATAAACTCCCTTTGCAAGCCAAAATTCTCCCCAAAGATCCCCCCCCCCCTTCCAGTAAAAATCCCCCCGCCTCTGCCAGCCCAGTACAATTTTTTTCCTCTACCATATCCCCTCCCAGCTCAAATCCTTTCTTTCTTTAAATCCTCCCTCCCCAAATCCCACTTCCTAACACAAATCTCCCCTTCTATTACAAATCCTCCATCCCAAATCTCTCATCCTAGAACAAATACTCCCCCCCCCCATCCCCCCTCCCAGCACAAATCACCCCTTCTTGCACATTTCCCCGCCCCTAATCACCCCCAGCACAAATCCCTCCCCCCCTCAGATTTTGCCTCCTAAAATAAATCCTACACCGCTGCCGCCCCTGAATTTTCTCCTCTCAATACAAATCCTCCACCCAATCCCCCTTCTAGCACATATAACCCCAAACCTCCTTGCTAGCACGAATCTACTTCTCCAAATGTTGGTTACTCCCAAACTGCTATCACTACTCCTGCCAGCTTACTACGCTCACCCCACCTAACATGAAACCACTGCGCCCAGGGCAGCCGCCCCTTCTGCCCATTCCTTGTCCAGGCTCTGGGAATAGTGATCAGATTAAGCTTTCTGATCTACCTATTTAATTTCTTTCACTTGCTTCACATTCTGCCAGGCCTGGAGAACACCAGTAATATTCAAATGTTCTGATCTACCTATTTAATTGCTGTCAGTGAAAGGAGTCATCGATGGGGTTCATAAACATGAGACCCTTGCACAGTCTGGCTACAAATGGCCGCCTTATGTCCATAGGTAGTTTTGAGCTCTTGCTCATTAACATTCTTTTTGCACTGCCACATTCTTTGCATTACCTGCCCAATATTCAAATGAACTACCCAATACAATACAATAATCTCTTGGAAATGGTCTTGGAACTTACAAAAATAAATACATATATGCTGGAATTATGAACAAGCTACTGCCTCCAGTGTCTACAACTGATAGCTAACACAGGAGTGAGCATATTTTACCATAATGATGTTGTGACCATAAATCGTAAGACTTGCAATTTAGCTTCTAAAATACCTAGCTGTAATGGTACAGCCCTGAACTATGGGACACGTTGCCCAAAGCCATGAAAGCATTTAACCATTTAAAAAAGCTGCTATGAAGTCTGAATGGTGGGTTCATTTGTGTGACAGGCAGATGGAATTTCTATTTTACTTTGCACACTATTACAAGCGTGTGCTATCAAGCACAATCTTGCAAAAGCAAATGAGTTGATTTTCATCAAGTCCTGTAACACTATGCAATGTAATAGCATAGGCTTGATACTCTGACCCTGATATCTGAACAAGACAGATGTAGACAGTGTGCAATGAAAGCAGGTGATTTGGGTCAAACAGAGCAATGAATGAAGTGTAAACAAGACCACATTTATTCAAAATGGAAAGGAGAAGAAGGAACATGGGAACAATAAAACAATATCCTAAAACAACTCTTTACCCATTTTATTCTTTTAAAAGTAAAAGTTGAAGACGCCATAAAATGTTTATTTTTCTTTTATAACTAGAAACACCCTTTCTGCGTTACTCTGATTCTGGTTTACTTCATTACAAAAGGGCTCAACATACCTAACTTTGGAACCAAGCCTTCCTGATCACCACCTTCAATGGCAGTGCCTACTAAAGCTCGTCAAGTGGGTGTTTAGCTTCAATGGCAGGACTTTCGTTGTGAAGTTGGGAATGTTGACTTAGTAACAAAGTATGCCAGAATGAAAGGGAAGTAAAGAAAAGGTCTAACAAAGCTAAGAACAGGCACTTTGTGGTGGGACTTACAATATATAAGGTCCAAAAATTTACTAGAACCATTCAAAGGGAAAATTCCAAGCCATGTTGTTTTTCATGTATTTTACACAATGGACAGTGTACAACGAGCACTGAGTCTATTCAGTATATAAGAGCAGTGTGTTGGAGGAGCAAGAATTTGGGGCTGCTGACTGGTTTTTCCAGGCAGTGGGTCCATTCTGACTCCAGTTTATTAAACATAAAGTGGTAGTAAACTCAAAATCAAAAATGTCATATATTGCAGCTTACTAAACCTTAGATGTGGTCGCTGCATTAGTTTTCTTTTTTATGTCCGTTTGCCCTCTGTCTTCACCTGGTAATCTGGCCAGTAATAGACCTTCTGTATTAAAGTGCCCCCACTCTGAATGAAAGAGCACAGGGGCATATTTGGATATCAGCAATGTCAGTTCTGGGGAGTGTTCGATGTACTAACAGATTGAAGACAAACTCCATCTCACACTGCAGTTACAGCAACAGGTTTTATTAACTTTTGGGGTAAACATTTTACCTCAATAAATAAAAGCTGATCATTGAAAGCGCCCCCCAACAGTGGTAAATGGTTTGTCTCAACACTTTAACTGCTACATTTTCAGGAGAGCTAGTTCTGTTGAAAAACAACAGACTTACTGGCTGGATCATCAGATGAAAATGAAAGAAAGTTAGCCTAAAAAAAAATAATGCAGCCATCACATCTAAGAAATGGTATGCTGAATCATAATAGACAAATAGCTGGGAGTGTCTGGTGTATTATTTTTTAAAATGTACACTGTATATTGAAATGTTTTGTACGCAATAAAATGTAAACTTTTTTAATAGTGATTTATGCATGTTTATTCCTGAGCTGATATAGCAAAGTTAGAGTTTCACACTCCACTTTCAATTTTTTAAAATGCAATATAATAGACGTTTGCATTTGGGTTTAATACCTCTTTAAAGTGTGCATATTGCTACCACTTTTTTTTTTTTGGACAGAGTAGGGAAGGGCTAAACCCCTGCCAGGTTATATATTTGTTGTTTGTGTACCATTGGAGACATTTTTTATTACTTTCTATCCCAGACTTGCTGGAGGAAGTGGCAAGGAAATCTCCCAAAATTAGAGGAATTTCCCTCTTAGACAGTGGTCTCGAAACAGTTGTCCTCATTGGAAGACTTCTGGGGACAGTTCTAAAATATGGGATTTGCCCTCGCTCTCCTTCTCGATGACAATAGTCACCAGTACGATTACAGAGGTTAATCTTCCCAATGAGGACACAGACAGCAATAAAAACTTGTTAGGGGATCTAACCCTTCCCCACTAACTTTTGCACTGGAAATAAGTCTAATTTTAACCTAGATAATAATAATACAAAAACTAGCAGTCTGCTCCTTTACACTACCTTTTCCTAATAAACAACACTTCCATGTAGTGTTGTACAGCACATGACATGATATGAGATACAGAAATGTGGATGTGCAGGGAGAAGAGCCT